GTATGATATCCTTGATGTCATGCTACAACTAATTTATCTTTCAGTCATGATGATTGATTTGTCAAATCTGTTTTTGAAACAGTATCTAAATTTAGGTGGAAAAAACTTAAGGGCATATTTCTGCTCTCGTGGGCTTATTTTAATTTTCTTCAATTTCAACTTGAACTTGAATGTGAGCAAATGGTGTTTTATTCCATAGTGGGCCCCTTGACTTTTTCTGATGGATGATATTGAGCTTCATCATCTCTTTTTACAAATATAGTTTATTTGATTCCTGTTTATTCTGTGTTGCAAGTTCCATGTTAACTGCCTTTTATGTTACTAAGAAAATGTATTTGAAGTGAATAATTTAAAAGATTCTATCATGTGACCTTGTGTATAATTTCTAATACCAAGGTCATATTTTACAATTACTGATTCTTCTTTGTTTCCAACTTTCACATTCCAATCACCATTAATTTTCAATGCATCTTGATTGAATGATTGATCAATTTCAGGCATTGTTAAAATGTTTAATTTCTTCATTTTTGGCATTAGTGGTTGGTGCATAAATTTTAATAGTAATTCAAATATAAAAGAGATGATGTTGAAGCTCAATATCATCAACCAGAACAAATCCAGGGGTTCACTGTGGAACAAACTACCATGTTCAAGTTGAAACTGAAGAAAGTTAAAACAACTTCATGAGAGGAGAAATATTACCTTGAGTATATCTCACCTAAATTTAGATACTGCTCCAAGAATATATTAGACAAATTGTATTACCTGGTTTGTCTTTAGACATGTAGCTCTTTATCCTGTACCTGTAGCTATTTATCCTGTCACTGACTGCATTGTTTTTCAAGAGAGAGGAAATATTCTGTTTGATAATGAATACAATGCTCTTCTTAATTTTTCAATTCTGTTATTACAGACTATTTAGAATGGTCCATTCCTGTTCTATTCAACTCACTAATGCCTAGAATATAGATCTGCATATATTCCCTTTCATCTTTGATGACTTCCTGTTTTTCTAGATTCATACTTCATGTTTGTATCTGTTTCTTCTAATTTTCATGTATATGCATATAAATGTATATGTCAATGTATACACATATGTACATATATGTAAAGCATTTATAAATAGAAGTAATAAGATGTGAGATTTCAGAGAAGGCATGGATTTCAGATTTTTTTTTTCAGAAAAGTATAGGAACCTAGGCCATGGAAAATATGCAGTATGTTATTAACTTGATTTACCATGGAACCTATTGAATTTTATACTTTAATCTGTCTCTTATGGTGCCCAGATGGCTCAGTAGGTTAACTGTTAGACTACTAACTGAAAGATCAATGGTTGCAACTCATCAGATGCTTTGTGGGTTTAAAGTGAGACAGTAAGCTTCTATAAAGATTTACAAATTCAAAAACTCTACGGAACTGTTGTACTCTGTCTTATAGGTTGTTGTGAGTTGAAATCAATTTGAGAGCAGTGAATTTATTTTTGGTTTAATTTATCTCTTGAACCTGAAA